CAACCTGTGGGTCGCGACCCCTTTGGGGGTTGAACGACCCTTTCACAGGGGTGGCCTAAATACATCCTGCATATCAGATATTTACATTACGATTTATAACAGTAGCAAAATTACAGTATGAAGTAGCAACGAAAATAATTTTATGGTTGGGGGTCACCACAACATGAGGAACTGTATTAAAGGGTCGTGGCATTAGGAAGGTTGACTCCTTCCTAATAAAGAAAAACATGTGTTCAACCTACTATATTTAACTGGAAGTTACAGTTTTCTATGTTTATATGGTCAAGAAATCTATCAATATTTTCTGTTGTAATTTCTTTATATATATTTTGGTGTAAGTTAATAAATATTAAAGTTTTAATTAAATGGAAAATATTCCAGAAAGAAACAATACAAAATAAAGTATAAATAAGTCAATAACTAAAGAAGAAATGGCAACAGTGAGGGGATATGTGTGCATATTCACACAAGTTAACTTAATTCATTTTTCTCTTTTGGTTTGTATGGAGGCAGATGTTTAAGTGACAAAGCGGAAGGAAATTTATCCACAATTCTATAGAGGTGAAAAAGTGAAGGTAGAAAGTAGTGATATACTGTTTTAACTAAATTATTCATTTAACCCTAAAACTCCTGTGGCGTATATGTCATTTTTTCCAATTTACAGATGAAGTAACTGAAGTTAAGAAAGATCAGGAAACTACCCCAACTGATGGTTAACACATGATTATCCACTCCTTTCTGCTATACCTGCTTTTTCTTGCTCTTTCTTATTTAATCCTAAATTGGACAAATTATTCTATGGAACCAAGTGTTTAGTAGAAAAAGAAATACCAATAATTTTACCACTTGCCTCTAAGTACTGTGAAGGGGACAGTATCCATCCTGTCATCTCCAGAGCCTAGTATATAGTACCTACCACATTACAGGCATTCAGTCATTGTTGATTGAATGAATGAATTTTGGAATAAGAGTACAACTAGTTGGAGCAAAATAACTCATGAGGTTAGCCAATAGAACTATTTAAATAAGAATTATAGCCACTAAAGTAGGTGTTCAAAATGAAGTAGTTACATCTAAAATAAAGAACACAAATAAAAAATTTTATTGCTATCTATTAAGTTACCCAAATATCACATAACGTACCAGTAAGTACTATATACCGAAGTATCCTAGTCATATTAGATGACTCACATTAATGCCTGCTTGGTAAAGACATAAGCCACTTGTCCTTTATACTTCGATAGTAAAATGAACCAGTAATAGGGGAAGGTAATCATGCATATAAAATTTCAAAGGGAATACATTTCATAACATATATTTTGGCCAACATTTGCTCCAAGTGTACATACTATTGCATAAGAAAAATGGGGCTTCTCCTTTGCATCTTGGGAATTTTAAAAGAACATGAAATAAGTTAGATTATCATCCCACCCCATTTTCAGAGGAGCATTATGTTACAGGCAGTAAACAAATTCTTGTTAATATTCACACTACTCTTTAAAAACATTCATCTAGTATCAGTATACTTCTCTTCAGGCCACCCTCTGCTTCATAAAAGAAAGTAAGCCAAGTTGTTTGTTATGTTTCTGTATCGTTTCCATAGCAAAGGTCTGTGCCTGCTTAATTTAACTAAATCTGGAGGGTTAAAGCCCAAAGGACACTATAGGACAGACTAGAACAGCTTCAATAAGAGTAGTTCTATTATCAGTTCTACTAAATTACTTAGGGGGAAGGGATTCCAATATATTAGAATCATGACAACACATTATAGGGATACTAAAAATACAAAATTAAATTTCCATACTATAAATTGCTTCAAACTGAAAATGCACACATAACAATATCATATAAAATATCATCACTTGCATAGTTCATGGACACAGACAATAGTGCAGTGACGGCCTGGGGTGGGAAAGGAGCCAGGTGGAGGAAGGTAAAGGGGGGGAAATGGGGGACATCTGTAATACTCTCAACAACTAAGATAAATAAATAAAAATAGTTAATGAAACTACATAAACAGATATGGAGAAGGAATGGGGAAAACACAAAAATAACTAGTAGTAGACTCTGGTGATTTTTTTTCATTTGATTTTCTAAATTGCTGTAATAAATAATATTTCTTTAAAAGTAATTCTTCCCTAGAGTTTCCCCAGGTGCAGAGTCGATCCAGGAGGAATATCTTTTAGCCCAGCAAAAATAAAACACACACAAAAAAACCTCAATGTGGAAGTGCTGCCATATCAACAAGGACATAAAACCTCAACAGAGGCTTTTTGGTTTTGAATTTTCTCTCTCCAGGCTCAGTAGTACCTAACTGAATAGACTCCATCATTAACAGATGTATGGTATTTGCATACCTTCACAACAGGGTGTCCGCCAGTAGATGCTTTTACTGCTCCTCGGCTACCTTCAGTTTCATAATGGGCTCGATGATGAGTTTTAGGTTGCACTTCTATTTTCAGTTCACATTGTCCAAAATGAGTAGGTAAAGGCCAGTCTAGTGGAGGTAATGAAGATGTGCTATAAACAAAACACAGAAAGACACATTTCACCATGCTATTATTGCCAAGCAGTGATTCAAATCACTTATTGTCAGCACCAACACTTCTTCCTGTGGTCTTAAAAACAAACTATTCCAAAGTAAAGCTTCACTTAATAAGTTACACCATCCTATATGGTGGGTGTTAAAGAAATAATGGATTTAATGATCATTTCTTAGCCTGAAAAATAAAATTGATTTTATCATCTTTAGTTTCCTGTATTTTTTTAAAAAAGGACAAATTCTAACATTTGTAAAACTGTAACTGTTTCTCAACTGTGTGTGCATAAGTACAAAAACAATCAAAATAATAATAATTTGATTTCTTAAAGAAAGATGCACATCTCTGTATATGTATCAGTATCTCTTCAAGGATCCAGAGGCCCCTGTGTCTCAGGATATATGTCCTCCTCCCTGGTGTCAGGCTATAAAAGTCAGTCTACTGTACATGTGGCTCCCCCCATTTCCTTCCTATTGCTCTTTACCCTGTCTCTCTAAAATATTGATTATAGTTAGCAATGTACTGCAGTTTGAGGTAAAATTTTAATTTTAGTACATACCTGGCTTTAAAAATATAAGGCCTATCACTGCAGCATCTCAAATGATCAGTAAGATAATTTCAACAGCTTAAAGGGCTACCGATTCATTTAAATATACTAACACTGAAAATACAGAATCAGAAAAGAAACAACTTATATAGCTATAGGTCAAATATTAATGAACCCAAAGCTAGAATGATTTGTATTAAAGTAATATCTTCTCGCCTGGCTGGCGTGACCTATGAACCAGGAGGTCATGGTTCAATTCCCAGTCAGGGCACATGTCTGGGCTGCAGGCTCGATTCCCAGTTTGGGGTTGCAAGAGGCAGCCAATCAATGATTCTCTCTCATCATTGATGTTTCTATCTCTCTCCCCTTCTCCCATCCTCTCTTATATATTTTTAAAAGTAGTATCTTCTCGATGATTGGTATGGGACTTTTAAGGTCTCTTCTACCTTCTAAAATGCTATTAATCTCACTGTAAATTTCTAAATTATTTCATTGATTCTTGGCTGTCCTCAGTCTAGCTTTACGGGGTACTGTGTAACTCAACAATATTAATTTTTATTACTCTCAGCTAGTTTTTGCAGTTGTTCTGCAGACTTAAACCCTTAATAAGATTAAGATTATTTTCAGAAGCAGAGTGATGAGCTCAAAGGTATCTTCAGAACTATAATTTTATATTATATTTTTCTAAAGATCTGGATACATAAATAAACATTCATACCAATGAAAAAATTTTCTGAAAAAAGTAAACAAACCCAACTCTATGTGGTGATTTAATACATGGTAAAGTTGTCTTTTCTAATCAATTATATACTAGAAAGATTCTATAAATGGTATTGTTATGACTGATAAGCCATTTGGAAAATAAAGTCATTACACTATTCTTCAGTCCTTAGCTGGACTCGAGACTATATAAATATATACATATAAAATTTACAAATATGCCCTGACTGGTTTGGCTCAGTGGATAGAGCATTGGCCTGCGGACTGAAAGGTCCCAGGTTCGATTCCAGTCAAGGGCATGTACCTTGGTTGTGGGCACATCCCCAGTAGGGGGTGTGCAGGAGGCAGCTGATCGATGTTTCTCTCTCATTGATGCTTCTAACTCTCTATCCCTCTACCTTCCTCTCTGTAAAAAATCAATAAAATATATTATAAAAAAAAATAAAAAAATAAAATTTACAAATACAATATATAGTACAAACACTATAAATATTTACAATATAAAATATAACACATATATATTATGTTACACGCATATATTATACATATAAAAACTTTATTAGAAACATGTGAAAATTAGATTTTTATCTATCTTTAAATTATTTGAGAGTGGAGTAAGACTTTCAAATATAACACAAAACTCAAAAGCCATAAATTTGAACACATAAAATTTAAAAATTCCTCTACACAGTGAAAAAAATCAAACTTATGAAGTTAAAAGATAAAAATTAGGGAAAAAAACAACCACTTGCCACAAATATGAAAAGGCAAATTTCATTTGTATATTGAACTCTTAAAAATATAAAAAGCTTATTCCCAATTAATTTTACTAGTAACTTAATTCATACTATAATCCATCTTTTACAAAAAGCTTTTTTAGATAAGAAAATTCCTTCTAGCCCTGGCCTGGTAGCTCAGTTGGTTAGAGCGTTGTCCCAATATGGCCAAGGTTACAGATTTGATCCCTGTTCAGGGCACATACAAGAAACCACCAATAAATGCATAAATAAGTGAAACAACAACCAATGTCTCTGTCTCTGTCTCTCTCTCTGTTTCTGTCTCTCCCTCTCTCCCCCCTTCCTCTCTCTCTCTCTAAAAATCAATAAATTAAAAAAGAAAATTCCTCCTAGGGATTCTTAAATGTAATTTGTTATCTACAATTCATTATCTACACACTTTTTTTTAAAAACTATTTAAAAATATATTTTATTGATTTTTCACAGAGAGGAAGGGAGAGGGATAGAGAGTTAGAAACATCAATGAGAGAGAAACATCGATCAGTTGCCTCCTGCACACTCCCTACTGGGTATGTGCCTGCAACCGAGGTATATGCTCTTGACCGGAATCAAACCTGGGACCCTTGCGTCCGCAAGCCGATGCTCTATCCCCTGAGCCAAACCGGTTAGGGCATATCTACACACTTTAATTATAACTTTAGCCTATCTAAAGATACTTTTAAGACTCAGAAGAAAATAAATGCAGACTTTGTTATTTGTCTGGAAGAAACAGAAAAACATAAAAGAGGAGAAAAAATGGTCAAACAATTCCATATAGATAATGTAGTTTACATGCCGCCAATAATCCATAAGGATGAATGACAGGCAACCATTTCATCAACTCACCGAAATATAGGGGTGTGGCCAGGCTTGGGTTTGCTCCAGGTAAAGGGTGAAGGAACTGAAAGAAAGTGGTCACCAGATGAATCTTTCTTTAAAGCATACTGAGATCCAAGGCCATCATCTATTGAAGTCTCCCGGGATGGTGATAAATTCCCTTGGTCATCTGAACAGAGCTCTAAGTTTCCTGGTAGTACAGTAGCTTGATCTTCAGAAGTCTTCCTTGTTTTTAGAGGGATATCAGTCTCTACGTAGTATTGAAATGGTGGAAGAAGTGCTGGACCAAGGCCTGATCCACCCTGGACAGAAGCATTGAGCCACGTATCTTCTGTTACACTTCCCCTGGGGGAGTGACCAGGAGAAGGAACAGGTGAGTGATGGGGTGAAAGGGACCCAGCATAACAAACCTCAGCACTAGAGTGTCGCCGTTTCCCACAGGGGGAAGTAGGCCTTGATGAGGGTCCTGAGGCTGGCCTGGGGCTCAGCCAATTCTCATCAGTGATACTAGATCTAGGAGAGTGGCAAGGAGATTGCCTGGGTGACAGTGAGTGTCCAAGTCCATATTGCTGATGCCAGGATTCTTCTCCAGGGCAGCCCCCTGGAGAGCCACCAGGAGAAGTCAGAGGGGATCCAAGAGTAAATCGGGCAGCAGCTTCATTCAATTCTGAATCCACATCATCATAAATATGTGAAAGAGATTCACAAGAAGATGCATCTGAGAACCAGCTTCTAGAAGAGATGCTGCTGGCAGGACTAGGACTAAGGGAAGACTCTCGGTAAGATGGCTCAAGAGGAAGATAGAGATGATCTCTAGAAGGTCTTTCCAAATATTCCTTTTCTGGGTCATTTATGTGTAGGTCATCTTCATGAGCATCTACTTCTTGATGACAGTTAGGAGAGATGGATGTGATTTGAATACTTGGGCACTCAAATGGTTTGGGACCACCTAATGGGCTGTATTTAGATTCTGGAATCTCACAAGTTCCTTCATAGTTTTTGTGACCTTGGAGCTGAAACGATGATGACAAAATAGAAGGGTGAGACGGTAATCCATGATGTGGTAAGCAAAGTGGTGAGTTTAAAGTAGATGGAGGTGGATCTACATTAAAGATGTAAATGGATGCACAATCATCTGGTTCAAGATCTATGGAGGGGAAACAAAAAAAAAAGATCAACAAAACAAGAAATTAGAAAATTTAGATGTATAAATTACTAGATGGAAAGTAAATAATAATAATCTTGAGAGAAAAAAGGGGGAATAGGAGCACATTAGCTCCATTAAGAGTGGTGTGTGGACCTAGCCGATGTAGCTCAGTTGGTTGAGTGTCATCTCATGGCCCAAAAGGTCACTGGTTGGATTCCTGGTCAGGGCATATGCCTGGGTTTTGGCCTCAATCCCTTGTAGGGGTGTGCAGGAGGCAGCCAATAGATGTTTCACTTCACATAGATGTTTCTCTTTCTCCCTTCCTTTCTCTCTAAAAATCAAGAGTGGTATGTTTAACCAAATGTATCTGGTTATTTCCATAGATATGTATATAATGTTTTTCTATTCCCATACTTTCTAAAATGAGAATCAGAAAACATTATCTGCAAACAATAAATGCTTTACAAAAGAAATAATCATATCCGTAATTCTAAAAAATATTCATAGAATTATAGAATGATATAATCATATAAATTCAGCCTCATCTGGAGTCTGTAGGCTAAAAGAGTAAAGAATAAAACTGAGTCTTTGAAAGGTTTTTAGTTGTAAGTATACACATTAAGTTTATTCATGAAAAGGACTATAGATGCAACTTAGGAGACCAAGACTCTAGTCTACCTGTGCCATTAACTGTGAGCTCTTAATCAAATCACTTAGTCTTTCCAAGGCCTTAGTTTCCTTGCAGTAAAATTCATAACTTTTCTTTTTGTTAAGGAAATTTTTATGATTAACAGTAACAGCTTTTTCTTCCACAGTCACACCATCAAGACTCACATCTTTGGTCATAGCAGACCAGATTATGAAAGTCCTGTGATGCCACTGGGTCGTTTTCCTCAACTAGAAAATAATTCACTGGAGCCTTAACTTATGATTGATTGTTAAAGCAATCCTAATAAGGATTGAACTTTTTAAATGCACCCCTTGCTGGAGTATTTAACACTAAACAGCTCCTGGCAAATTAGCTACTGAGAGTGTTTGTAGCAATAAGGATATTTTGCAACATCACTTTTAGGAAAAAGTAATTATGATCTATTTTCACAGAGGCTGAAGTACTAAGCCCTAGTATAAGGTACTGGTTGAATACCTTCACTTTTTCCAAAGAGATCATCATTGGGAAACCAAAGATAAAATGTTCATAGATACAACAGAGAGAAGCACAACCTCTCCTCAAAAGCACTCAAGATCACATTGTTTCATTACATTAATACCCCCATTTTTAGACTTCTGGTGTTGCTATGATTAGCCAGCATCCTACTATTTAACTATTTCCATAAGTCCTAGATTTTGGAATGTTTAAGGTGTTGTTAGTGAACATATTCAGTAGAGTTTTTACATGTTATTAAAACAACAAAACCCCCTAGATTTAAACCCTGGCTATGCCAGTCCATAGCTGTGTGAAACTTAACCTGCTCAAATCTCAGATTTCTGAGGCTGTTTTTTTCTATTAAACTGACAGGAGGTAAGTAGAGTGATAACACATAGAACTATTTTTAAGACAAGCAACCTAACACAATGACTAACAGTAAGAACTCAATACATGACAATTACCCTGTCTTTCCCTTTTTAAAATTTAAGATGGGCATACTATATTTTATTTTTTTAACTCTAAAATATTAAATTGAATTCTTATATATATATTTTTAATTGATTTTTTACAGAGAGGAAGGGAGAGGGATAGAGAGTTAGAAACATCGATGAGAAACATCGATCAGCTGCCTCCTGCACACCCCCTACTGGGGATGTGCCCGCAACCAAGGTACATGCACTCCTACTATGTAAAGACATTTGTTTTAAAAGACTTGTTTTAATTTGTAACATTGGAGGGACATGAGTATCATCAGTCTTACTTCAGTTTCTCCACCCAAGAGGTTATTTTTAAATTTAGTAGTAAAATAGCTCTATATGAACTGTGGTGTTTCTAGGCTTCAAAGAACCAGAAAACCCAATTCAAAGTAGCTGAAAAGGGGGGGGAGGGTGGAAGAGGTTACTTATTATCCAATATAACAAAAGGTCCAAAGGTAGGACAGCTCCAGAATTAGTTATTTCATCAGTTGAACAAAGTCACCAAGAAATCAGTTTCTTTCTACATCCACATTATTTCCCTTTTTGGGGTGCTAACTTTGTGCTATTCACTTCAACCATATATATGTGTATTTGTCCTAAACAAGAAGCAATGTGATCATTTACTTAACAGTAATTTTTTTAGCAGCCACTAATAGCTGTTATGTTCTAGACCAGCGGTTCTCAACCTGTGGGTCGCAAACAATGAAAATACATCCTGCAGCCCTAACTGGTTTGGCTCAGTGGATAGAGCGTTGGCCTGCGGACTGAAAGGTCCCAGGTTCGATTCCGGTCAAGGACATGTACCTTGGTTGCGGGCACATCCCCAGTGGGAGGTGTGCAGGAGGCAGCTGATCGATGTTTCTCTCTCATGTTTCTAACTCTCTATCCCTCTCCCTTCCTCTCCATAAACATAAAAAAAAATCAATAAAATATATATTTAAAAAAAAGAAAATACATCCTGCATATCAGATATTTACATTATGATTCATAACAGTAGCAAAATTACAGTTATGAAGTAGCAACGAAAATAATTTTATGGTTGGGGGTCACCACAACATGAGGAACTGTATTAAAGGGTCGCGGCATTAGGAAGGTTGAGAAACACTGTTCTAGACACTGAAAACAGGACTGTGTACAAGAGTACACAAAGCAAAGTCCCCATCCTCAACTTACATCCTAGTAACATATGTCAGGTGGTGACATCTGATTTAAGGAAAAATAAAATAGGGTAAGGTGAATAAAGTAAGAGAATGAGAGAAAGTTATTTTAGATATGGAAGTCTGGAAAGGTTCTTTCTCCAATATTTGAGGAGATAGCCAAAGGATATTTGGAACTGAGCTATACAAAGTCTAGGGGAAGAACACTGCAGGTAGAGGAAATAGTGTGTGCCAAAGCCTAAAGATAGAGGATGGAGTAGTTCTGGAGTATATGAGAAAAAGCAAGAAAGCCAGTGAGGCCCAGCCGGTGTGGCTCAGTAGTTGAGCATTAACCCATGAACAAAGAGGTCACTGGTTCGATTCCCCATGAGGCATATGCCTGGGTTGCAGCCTCGATCCCCAGTAGGGGGGCATGCAGGAAGCAGTCAATCGATGTTTCTCTCTCATTGATATTTCTATCTCTCTATCCCTCTCCCTTCCTCTCCCTAAAAATCAAGAAAAAAAATATTAAAAAAACAAAGATAAAAATGAAAGTGTGTGGGAATAGAATTGAGGGGTTAGAATGATAAGAGATGGGGATGAGGGTTGGGGAGGGGGCACTAGCTAGTCAAGTAAGGCCTCCTAAATCAGTAGAATGAATGGTTTATATTAGAACCCACTGTAGGGTTCTAAGCAAAGTAATGTCATGATCTGATATATAATCTGATATACATTTAAAAGACTATTGCAATAATCCACATACAAAATAACAGAGCATAGGACCTGGGTGGTGATGGCTTGTAAAAACAGAAAAGCAGTAAGAAGTGAGGTGTTTTTTATTATTATTAAGGTAGAGCTGACAACTCGCTAATGAATTGGATGTGAGCAAAGGAGAAGTCAGGTTTGGGGCCTGAACTATTATAAGAAAACTAGAGGCCCGATGCATGAAATTCGTGCAAGGGGCTTGGCCCTTGCAGCTCCGGCTTCATCCAGAAGGTTGTCGGAAGGTCGTTAGGCTGTCGGGTCTAATTAGCATATTATACTTTTATTATTATAGATGAGAGACCTCTGGCCTGTGTTTCTAAATGGTTAGAGCGTCAGCCTGCAGACTGAAGGATCTCGGGTTCAATTCTCAATCAAGAGCATGTACCTGGGCTGCAGGTTCAATTCCCAGCTCCAGTTGAGGTGCATGTGGGAGGCAACCAATCGATATGTCTCTCTCACATCAACGTTTCTCTCTCTCTGACTCTCTCTTGCCCTTCCACTCTCTCTAAATAATGGAGAAAATGTCCTCTGGTGAGTATAACAAAAACAAACAAACAAAAAACCCAGTTAAGATGGTCAATTTTATGTTATGTATATTTTATCACAATTTTTAAAAAATGGTGTCACCTTAGTTCAAAGGAGGACAACACCCAACTCTGAATTCTTAGCAGTCACTGAATTCTTTGCCACCACACACTTGCAGTTAAAACATAAAAATCAAGTTTTATTTAAGAATGTTACTTGATAAAGTAGCAAAAATTATTAATTTATTAAACTTCAACCCTTTGAGTAAAAAAAGAAGGGGGAAAGGAAGTCGTTCTTGAAAGACTATAGTTTCATTAAAACATAATTATCGTATCAATGTCATTTCAGTGTTTGATTGATGCTGAAATCCATACCTTTCCGCCAAATAAACTTTAGATGAAGCAAACATATTCTGAATCAGAATGATGTCTTAAAGCAGTGATGGCGAACCTATGACATGCGTGTCAGAGGTGACATGCGAACTCATTTTTTTGGTTGATTTTTCTTTGTTAAATGGCATTTAAATATATAAAATAAATATCAACAATATACATCTTTGTTTTACTATGGTTGCAAATATCAAAAAATTTCTATATGTGACACGGCACCAGAGTTAAGTTAGGGTTTTTCAAAATGCTGACACACCGAGCTCAAAAGGTTTGCCATCACTCTCGTAAGCCCAGATTCCCAACTCTAGACTTCTCAAATTCATGGTGCTTCAGAAATTTGACCATCTCAAGATTTATTTGTTCTGTGTTCCTTTAGCCACCAGGGGGCCCCAAGCAAGCATGCAAGTAATCTGGACAACAGAGGTTGCCTATGTATGATTTTACACAATAAAGCAGGGGTTGGCAAAATACAGCTCACAGGCCAAACCTCACTTATTACCTGTTATTCTTACACAATTAAGGATGGTTTCAAATAGTTGAAAAAAGATTAATACTGTTCCAT